ATATATATATATATATATATATTCATCCTCTATACAATTAAAATAAAATATCATTTGCTTTGCTTTTATTAATATTGTCTTCTCATTTCATTTCTGTTTTCCATTCTGGTTTCGGCTTTGAGGATTTGAAATAGTGTACTTAATTAAGCAGGTCTAAAAGTCACCTAGCTTTTAAATAAACAAATAAAGCAAAATAAAATTGTGTATGTGCATCGATCTGTCTTCTTAATCAGCTAAATAATATGACCATCTCAGAGGCCAAGTGCTTGGTTGAATAATCGAAACAGATGAAATTCTCTTTGATGACGTCACTATGAATTGCTTTACTCCATGTTTTGCATATGCATATGCATGGTCCTGCTTTGTTTTTTGCCTCATAAACATCCCAAACCCTTTGCTTCTGATCCTTTCATAATTCTCAGCCTCTTGCAGGATGACACAAACATGCTGCAATAATTAACACAATCAAATATAAGATTATGGATATAATTAATATAAACAAACAACAAATTAATAGTTACTAAGACTATTTCAATTTTCAAACAACAGATTTAATTAGTAGAAGAAATTAACTTACTTCCAGGGAACATCTCCAACCAGCATCCAGTCACCATCCTTGTCTTCATAAGTTGGAGCATATTCAGATCCATTGTACCCTTCCCTTTCTGAATATTCACCTGGATCACAACCAAATATAATTTTATTCCTCTTTTCTATATACTATGCCAAATCTTGACTACCAAAAAAGAAAAGATTATTATTTGTTAATTAACATACCAAATGTGCACTTGAACATATTTCCCAAGGTCTTGAGAAGTTCTGGGTAGCTCTTGTAAACCTTGAGATCTATCTTCCTCAAGTAAGGTGCACCAGCCATGCTAACTTTCACGTACATCCCAGAACCTTCACCTTCTTCTCCTTTCTTTTGTTGTAGATTATTCTTCCTATAAGAACGAATCGGTGGCCACCCCACTACTTGTGCCCTGCATGACAATATTTTCATTATTAATCCAACTCATGCATATAATTATTTTCCTTTTCAGGAACAATAAAAAGGGATATACATATTTATATAACTTACTTTGCAGGTGGCACAACGTTGTCTTGGTCATGATCACTAGTAACATCAGAACCATTAGAATTCATGTTGCCCTTGCTCATGCACTCTAGTTCTTCACTTGCTTCAGGTGAAGATCTCTTGTTGCTTCTGACAACAGAACGCTTCTCAGGCTCATCGCTTCCGGGTAACCCTAGCCTCAACTCCGTGGCCTCGAGATTCAGCTCTTTTTCGTGGCTAATTCTCAATGAATTATCCATTTTTTTTCTTGATATCACTTGAAGAATTCCAAATTAATAATCGAAAAGGTTTCTTGGGGGAAAAAGAGAGATCTAGAGAGAGATGTGAGAAATGTGGTGTAAGGGTAGTGGGTGGCTCATTAATTTTATAGCAACATGAGTGTGGGACAATATCTAGGTGAGTTATTCTCATGGTGCATGAATTTTACAAACAACCCTGGGCTGTGAGACGCGCTTGTGACGGGCGAATGAGAATGCGACAGGTAGGTGTGGGGAGCCACGGCACACGGTTGAAAGAGCGGGTGACGTGGGGTTACATACAGAGGACAGATATGATTGCCGCTGACATTAGGGACAGGAAAGAACAGGGTGTGAGGGTGAGAGGGGACAAGAGGGGAACACGGTGGACCACCGTGACTGGGACAATGGGATTTGAGGAGCGTTGGATCACGAGGCGCTGGTACATGTGATAATGATAGGTGGGTCCCACTCCCACGTGGATGTCTCTCATTGGATCCTCATAGCCATGTGAGTGGATATTATTGTTAGGGAGAAAACCCCGTCTCAGTTCTTGTGGGATTCAAATCCCGTGGGCAGTGGCTGCATCAATTCTTCCCCCCCCCCACCTCGTTTTTTTTTTCCCCCCCCCCCTCTATTCTTATCTTAACTTGTAAGTAAAAATATAATCATTAATTCATCATACACTTCCCCTGTTTCCTCTTCTTAATTTTCAACTCACTCAGATTAATTTTTATAATGTGCTAGATCTTCTAATTTGGTTTATATAATGGCTTACTACTAAATAAACTAGAGAATAAAATAAGATTAGAGTGGACAATGCCCGGTTAAATAGCTCTCAGAGTTTACAAAATTAGATTAGAGCGGAGGTATCATATCCTTTCTCTTTCACATTTATTGATAAAAAAAAAAAAAAAAAAGAGTCTGCAATGAGGGCTTTTTTTTTTTGTTCCCCTTGTCTATCTTGTAGCACAACTAGTTCGACTAAAAATATATAGCTTTGACTAAGGTTATATAGATCCGTAGCAGAGAGGAGAATGGTGAGGGATAAAATGAAGAAAGAAATTGTTCTATTGTTTGGTTTTTAAAAATAAGATTGAAATACAATGCAAGAAGATAGATCATAATCTATTTTATTTCATTGGTTAACTTTAATTTTACTTTCTACATTATTTAATGAATATTGGATAATATAAACAAAAATAATATTAAATTTACTATGTTTCTAATATTTATCTTATAATAAATTCTTATTAATTAATTTTGACATAAAGATGATGCTGATGTAATAACAATAATATTGATAATAATCATAATGATGATAATAATAATAATAATAATAGGTAAAAATAATGACATTGGTATCGCGACAGATGAGTAATTGTTGTTTTTGTTTCTTAGATATTTTGTATTTTAAGCAAATAATTCTCCCATGATATATCGAGTAAAAAAATAGAATTTATTGTTCTTCTCATTTGATCAATCTATTTGAGTTGGTGATGAATATTAACATGGCACAATGATCTGACATATAAAAATAAGATTAAAAATAGTTAAAATATAAAAGATAAACATTAATTAGTCAAAATATAGAATATGAGAATTGAACTTATCACATTTACCTTCAATAACAAAACCTAATCACTAAATCAATGAAAATTTTAAAAATAAAAATGAGGGCTATAATATATGTAGTACTAAATAAAAAAATTATAAATATTATTAGCATTAATAATATTATTCATAACTTAAATCTCATAATATTATTGGTATATTAATATGTTATTATTTTTATAATAATTTAAAATTATATAATTATTAACTTATTTAAATAATATAAATTAGTGAAAAAAAAACTTTGTGTCTAAATATAAAAAATTGAAAAAGAAATGGTGAAATAAAAAAGTGTACAATTAACTTTATGATATTGAAATAATTGAACAAATTAGTTAAGAGATAAATAAGTCTAACATAAGTAGACATTAAAGTAAGACATTCTCGTTACTAATACTAGTAGATAAAAGACACTTCGTGTTTTTCTTTGAATTCACACATGTTAATATAGGTTGTAGGTTGTGGGTGATTATTAAGAGGTTAAAATAAATTATATCAAAAGACTTTTTTGACTTTGTTAATTATTATTATGCAATTTTTTAAATGTTAAAGTTATTAGCAATAATGTATACATCAAAACATAGAAGACATATTTACCTTTATTAAATAATATATATATGTCTTCTA